GGTGGCGGAAATCAAAGACACGACAAAGAAAATCCGAATGTGGCTCGGAACTTTCGAGACGGCGGAGGAAGCCGCTCGAGCTTACGATGAAGCCGCTTGTCTTCTTCGAGGTTCCAATACAAGAACGAATTTCATCCCACAAATCTCCACTAATTCCCCAATCGCCTCACGAATTCGCAGCCTCTTAAACAGCAGAAAAAACCAAATTCTAAATCCACTCAAAAACCACCCCGCCGCCGCCGTCGCCGCTCCAATAATTCAGGACGGCCGGCTGTTCGACGGCGCCTATAAACCCGACATGACGAACTGTTTGGAAGAAACAGAGATGGGTTCTGATTTTTGTAGCGATTCATCTTGTTCTTCTGATTCTTCTCGATTGGGAGCTTCTTCTGGAGGTGGGTTTGTTGATGGGCTTTCGATGGTGCAAGAATCGATGAAGTTTCCGGTGAACGCGGCGGCGCTTCAAGCGGAAAGCGAGCATTCAGAGGATTTGGAATTGTTAGCTTTTGAGAGGATGAAAGTTGAGAGGCAAATTTCTGCTTCTTTATATGCCATGAATGGAGTTCAGGAGTATATGGAGGCTGTTCATGAGGCCTCTGAGGCAATTTGGGATCTTCCACCACTCTGTTCTTTGTTCTGTTGATGATCATGAACAGATTAAGATAAACCATGTGGGTTTATCTCTTATTTTCTTTGTTTAGTGCTTGATTTTAGTGTTTTTCTTATGACAAATGTTGTCCGTACAAGAATTTGGGAGATTAAAACATGAAATTGGAGACAGAAACCATTTAAAGAAGATCAAACTTTTGGTGGGTAATTTAGAAATCAATCTAAAAAGCTTAAAATTCAAAAGGGTATGTAAATAATTTGTGATTAAGAAGCTTGTTCATGAATAAACTCCATTTTGAAGGGATTTGCCTTATTTTCCGTTTGGGAATATAAAAACAGAACAAAACAGAACGCACCCATTTACTTTAAGGGCCCACAGATATAGAAACCGCTCATAGTCTCCACTCGTTCATCAATTAACCGCTAAATCTTCAGTCAGGCGATAGACGTGCGAAATGGGCGCTCTCAAAGCCGTGGCGCTCATCACAGGAGGTGATCATTCCAACGTCAAAGGCTCCATTCAGTTCGTCCAAGATTCAAATGGTCTGTTTCTCTATGTGGGTTTTTGAATTCGATGCTTGTTTTTGGTTCTTCTGCGCCCATTTTTCATAGGGTTTTTTGTAATAGATGCTTGTTTTTGCTTGTTCTGCGCCCATTTTTCATAGGGTTTTTGTAATCGTTGCTTGTTTTTGCTTCTTCTGCGCCCATTTTTCGAAGGGTTTTGTCTGCGATGATTGTTCTTGCTTGTTTTTGCACGTATTTCTGAAAGGATTTTGTGTGCGATGCTTGTTTTTGCTTCTTTTGCGCTCATTTCTTGTAGGGTTTTTGATAAACATGAACAGGGGCGACCCATGTTAATGGTAGATTAAGTGGGCTATCTCCTGGACTCCATGGCTTCCATATCCACGCTCTTGGCGATACCACAAATGGCTGCATCTCCACTGGTAATCCCTCTCTTTTTCTGCCCTAATTTCGCCTCGTTCCATTGGTTGAATCGATTTTTTCTTTGTTAGGGCCTCATTTTAATCCATTGAAGAAGAACCATGGAGCTCCTGGGGATTCAGAACGTCACGCTGGAGATCTGGGGAACATCTATGCAGGCCCTGATGGTTAGTAGAGTTTCTACTTTTTTTTTCCATTGGAATGTTCTTGAGCTCCTCGTATGACATTTTAGCTGTGGGATGTTTCAGGGGTTGCTGAAGTTTCCATTACAGATAGGCTGGTAAGTTTGCTAATCCTTATAGACTGCTTCTTATTCAGTGAGTTGTGCTTATGTGAGCCACTGTTGGGCTTCTAATTTGCGTTTGTTCTTTGTGATGTGAGTTGTGGATTATATTTTCGTTGTTGTTCTTGTGTTTTGATGTGTAGATTTCACTTAAGGGACCTCATTCGATACTTGGACGGGCTGTTGTTGTGCACGCTGATCCCGATGATCTTGGCAAGGGTAAGAGTTTGTTCTATTCTACCTCGTCTTTAAGCCTTCAAACGGTATAAGTCTAAGCCCACCGCTAGTAGATATTGTTCTCTTTGGAGTTCCCCTCAAGGTTTTTAAAACGCGTCTGCTAGAAAGAGGTTTCCACACCCTTATAAAAGTATGCTTCGTTCTCCTCTCCAACTGATGTGGGATCTCACAATCCAGCCCCCCTTCAGGGACCAGCGTCCTCGCTGGTACTCATTCCTCTCTCCAATCGATGTGGGATCTCACAATCTATACCCTTTAGGGCCCAGCATCCTCGCTGGTACTCATTCCTCTCTCCAATCGATGTGGGATCTCACAATCTATCCCCTTTAGGGCCCAGCGTTCTCGCTAGCACACCACCCGATGTCTACCCCCTTTGGGGCTTAGTGTCCTTACTTGCACACCACCCGGTGTCTTACTCTGATACCATTTGTAACAGCCCAAACCCACCACTAGCAGATATTATCTTCTATAGGCTTTCCCTTTTGGGCTTTCCCTCAAGGTTTTTAAAACGCGTCTGCTAGGGAGAGATTTCCACACCCTTGTGAAGAATGCTTCGTTCCCCTTTCCAACGGATGTGGGATCTCACACAAACGTTTTGTACTGTTCTTGAGATTAGGATAAAATAGCCATTTGAGTTGTGTTACCTTTCATCTCTTGATAAATTATTTAATAACCAGACAGTGACATGTCTTTTATCATTTACCTTAATGATGTTTGTAGCGATCTTTTGTGTGATAAAGAATATCGAACAAGAGCGACCTATTAAACACATATTTACACATATTTGTAGGTTCCAAGGACCCACTTCTTTAGTTTGTTGATAATTGAATGAGTATCACTTTCTATTGTCAGTTCGAAAGATTATGTTTGATTTGTCGTTCACACGTTCATTTCGTCTATTCGTTGTTGCCTTTTGGCTTAATCGTACATGTTAAATGCAATAGGCGGGCATGAACTCAGCAAGACGACTGGAAATGCTGGTGCACGAATCGGATGCGGTTAGTATGCAAATCCTCTACATATTTGGTTTTGGTTTTTAGGTTATAACAATATATAACAATGTCTGCTAGAGATGGGGTGGATTTAGCATGAATATTTGTTGTAATGATGCAATTTGAAGTGCTACGTGATGATGATATGCTCCCTCTCTATTGAAATGGAAGATGATATGCTCACTGCTAGTACCTAATATCCTCGTTGGGCTTTCCCTAGCTTTTCTTTTCGGGCTTCCTCTCAAGGTTTTAAAACGCGTCTGTTAGGGAGAGATTTCCACACCCTTATAAGGAATACTTTGTTCCCCTCTCCAACCAACGTGAGATCTCACAATCCACCCCCTTGGGGGCCAGCATCCTCATTGACACACCGCTCGGTGTCTAGCTCTGATACCATTTATAACAGCTCAAGCCCACCGCTAGTAGATAATGTCTTTTTTGGGCTTTCTCTTCCAGACTTCCCCTCAAAGTTTTAAAACGCGTCTGCTAGGGAGAGGTTTCTACACCCTTATAAGGAATTTTTGTTCCCCTCTCCAACCGGTGTGGAATCTCGCACTAAATTAAGGAGAATAGGCATGTGGAAAGAACATAAGTTTTATTTAGAAGATGTCTGATCACTTGGAAAAAAACGAAAGAGAATGGTGAGAAGCAGGTGGACAGAAGGATGAAAGGAAACGGGCGGGGTGGGGCGGAGGTGAAGAAACTAACAAAGGTACTGATAGATCGAGAAAAAAACTAGTGAAAAAGTTCTTCGACGAGCAAAGCCATTTCTAACCCAAAGAAGCCTCAATTTGGTCTCGTCGAGCAAGAAATCGAGGCAAACCTTAGGCAATAGAGCATGTAGGGCATGCGATATCGATATTGCCTTCCCATCGATGAAACACTCTTTAACAAACGCATAAGGGAAGGGAAGGGAAGGGAAGCATGGAAAATCATGATCAAGATAGCGGAGGCCTCGGACCCCGGACCGTAAGTAGGGATTTTGGGTGATAGAGAATATGTTATGTTGTTCCATAGAACTAAGCATTTTGTACCCTTATGGTTTTATTGTACGGTTTTTGAAAGTTTTGCTTGATTGTTGAGCAGGCATTATTGGGATCCAATCCTCTGTTTAAAGGTTGGCTGTGCTGGAACCCTCTCTCTCTCTTGTTTCTTTCCTTTCTGTTCTGTACAAATAAATGAGTCCATCAACAATTAAGTTATTAAGTTATTTCGAGTCGGGTATGTGAAAATAGGCCGAGTTTGAGGTTTATGGTCGGAAATGTTCAATTCATCGTTCAAATAAAAATTATATTACAATATTGTCGATGTATAATGTAAGTCTTAAATTGTGTATATGTTAGCATTATAAGGTAATACTTCCCGAGAGTAGGTCGACTCTTCAAGAGACTAGTTATTCACTAAATGACATGAAATCATGAACACCGACCATCGACAATGATGGTTGTGCTTAAAACTAGATGCTCTGAATCTTGCTTGCAATATATTCATCTGTCCTTTGTGGTAGTTTGGATCGTCCTCCCAACCAAAGTTATGATCTCTATCATTGGTTCATAACATGAGATCTATGTGTGATTTCACGAAGGTTTTTTGATTCTCCCTATAGTCAAGAGTTAATATCAAATTGTATATGACCCTCTCGTAAAATATGAATATTTTCAATTAATGGATTTATGAAAAAGAGATCAAATATTTTATAGTCAAGTCTTATACAAACTCGTTATATAAAATATTTTCACTCGTATGTTTCCACTCTTGATACCTAAATTCGGAGAAAATGATATTTGTTGCACGCATTTTGAGAGTGGAATCTCCTCTTCGGATATATATGTTTATATTAGAACTTGAAAGTAGAAAATATAATCCCTATCCCTCACCCAGTTCATCTACCGGGGAGAAATCTTTTCTCAAATTTTGAAGGACGGATCCTTTTTTTTTTTCCATTAAATTCTTTGAAGTAGTGCCGCCACATTCAAAGGAACGTAGAACAGAAGATCAACTACAAGAACACAAACTCCATTCGGTTCATTCCCTTTTGAAAGTTCTAAAGTTAATCAGCAAATATCTCAGCTGGATTTTATTTGGAGCTTTCGAAGCGGAAAGTATAAGAAAACCTGAATCCTCCTCCCAAATCGGCGATTGAATCGGTGTCCGTTGGATTCTCAACGAAACCCTCCGCCGCTGCCGCCGCTACCTCCGCCGTCACGGCCACCGTATGATCTAGATAAATCTGATTGAACCATACCCTTTTTTTAGAAACTTGAGGAACCAATACATATCTGTTTATCTGTTTATCTGTTTCGTCGTTTTTTTCTGCTCGACTTTCCCTTTCTGATTCATTTCTATAATACCCATTTGTTCTTTTTCTTGTTCTTCATCATTTTATGGTTTAATCTCTTCTCCAAACATGGCTGCCTTTTCCCTTTTTGTTTATTTTCTTGCCCTTACTCCTCTAGGGTTTGTGTCTTCAAAATCCCTTCCCCGATCTTCATTTTGCCCCAGAGATTCGGATTTCTTTCTCTATGGGGTTCGATCTCAATGCCCTTCCTCTGTGCTTCCCAGCTCGGCTTTACAGGTGTGAAATTCTCTGTTATCTTCTTGGTTTTGTGTTGATTGTCGTTTTGCTTAGCTGATGATATCATCTCTGTTTTCTTTGTCTTAGCTTCACGAACAACATGAACAGCCTCGTTGTTATACCTTTAGAATTAGATTATTAGAAGATTTGTAAATGGCTGAATTTTGGTTGTGTTAAGCTCTTTGATTGTTCTTTATGTGGTGAACATTCAGCTGAGGGGAGGTGGAATAAATTTGTGCATATTTGTTCTTTTCTCTTTACTGTTATCTGAAGAATTAGATTGGAAGAGTTGATGTTGAATCAGAAGTTAGAATGTTCATGGGGTTGAGTTGGGGATGGATTGAGGCGTTTGTAACCCAATTTTCGGGTCGAGTTGGGGATGGATTTAGGCATTTGTAACCCAATTTTCGGGTCGAGTTGGGGATGGATTTAGGCATTTGTAACCCAATTTTCGAGTCAAGTTGGGGATGGATTGAGGCATTTGTAACCCAATTTTCGAGTCGAGTTGGAGATGGATTTAGGCATTTGTAACCCAACTTTCGGGTCTAGTTGTGGATGGATTGAGGCATTTGTAACCCAACTTTCGGGTCGAGTTGGGGATGGATTGAGGAGTTTGTAGCCCAACTTTCGAAACTGCTAACCTGAGCATAGCTTTAACTCTTTACGATTAAGACATTATATTCTCGATTGAAAGGTCATACGTGTTGAAGTCATGGTGTGCTAGTGTAATTTCTTCTCTCTTATTGATTTTCTTTGCCTTTCTTCTGATCTTTAGGTGGATGGGAAGTTCCTTGATAAGACTTTGACGTCTTATAAGAAGAACGGCTACACCTCCATGTTCTTTTATGCGTCGTGGTGCCCGTTTTCTCTCCGTTTGCACCCCACATTCGAATCTCTCAGCTCGTTGTTTCCTCAAATAGAACACTTGGTGGTTGAGCAATCTTCTACACTACCAAAGTAAGTAGTTGAACTATTGTGTTCATTTGTTTGAATGAGACAGAATTTAGCGATCCTCGTATTGGCGTTTTTAAGTGCTAATGAGATCGTTTCTGTCGTTGAATCTCGAATAGGATAATAACTTGCTGGTTTACAACCTCTTTACTAACACATTTGTCTTCCCGTTTCGTAGCGTACTCTCAAAATATGGAGTCCGCAGCTTCCCGACTATATTATTGGTGAACAGGACATCATGGATTCAATATCGTGGTCCAAAAGATATACATTCGCTCGTTCGTTTCTATAACCGAGTAACAGGTAAGGTTCTCCAATGTGGGTGTGTGTGATCAAGCTCTAACGGGTTGTGTTTGGTGAACGTATATGTATATCTAAATCGCGTTTTGTTATGTCAGGATTAAAATCGGTTCCTTATTATAATGAAGATGAGTTACTTAGAATTGAGAGCGTTGGTAGGCCAATAATCGAACGGTCAAAGATTTCCTCACCGAAGAACATATTGAAGAGCGAACCATTGTTGACGTTCTCATTTGTATTCATATGTCTTCGTATAGCGATGGTCAAATTACCACATGTGCTATATCATCTTAACAATCTTTGGAGATCTTACATGCCCCACCTAAACTTGGAAATATTTGGTGAAACACGACAACTGATGGGGCGGATTTTCCACATGGTCGATATGAGAAGGGCATGGGCGAAGCTGAGGCTATGCAAGACGAAGAACTTCCACAAAGGAGCAAGGAATGCTCGTGTTTGGGCATCGTCTCTGGCCTCCGTCTCGTTGGGTGAATCTTCGTCCTCGAGATCGACTTAGATTCACCTACCATCTTGTAAAAATTGAAAATGCAAATTTCTGAGGCCTTTTCTTGCACTAGAGGTAGCAGGAGAGTAGAGGGCAAGGCAAGGCCTGTACAGTTAAAAAAAATTGATTCTCATTTTGAATATTATACACATTACACGACCAAAACATGTCTAAACCCAAACAAGCTGTTGTCGGTTCACAGTTGGGTCATAACGATGTTGTTATCTAAATAGTAGGTAAGTAAGTTCTTGTGTAACAGCTCAAAGTCCACCACTCGCAGATATTGTCCTGCCTTCTATTTTGAATTTTTTCTTGAGGTTTTAAAACATGTTTGCTAGAGAGAGACTTTTACACCTCCTCCCCATCCGATATGGGATCTCACAGTCCACTCTCCTTTTGAACCTAGTGTCCTTGCTGGTACTCATTCAATCTCACCAGCCCCAACGACCTCACTGACGCTCGTTCTCTTCTCCAATCGATGTGTGATCTCACAATCCACCCTTCTTTAGAACCTAGTATCCTTGCTGGTACTCATTCAATCTCACCTCTCGAGACTTACGTAATCTTTCGATAATCCCAGGTTTAAAATGAGGATCGGGCTAATTAATTGAGAGGAGAGGATAAGAGCAGGCTTGTGGGGGCGTGATTTAAGGCCTAGATTTGAGAGTTTGTTTGTTTTTGCCTTCCATTTTCAAAGATTGCTTGTTGGGAAGAAAAGGGGTCTCTTGTGATTGAATGTGACTGAAGATATTTGGTGTGGTGTATGAGCGGCCAAATGCCAAAGACTTGGGGAGTTTGCTTGTTCAAATAGTACTTGTATTCTTCTTTTTGTATTTTGCCATGAAATTTTGTGGCTATTACCGACTCGTTGATAACGCTTCGTGGCTATTACCGATGCCCTTTCGTGACTATTACGATCTGTACGAGGGTTAAGCAAAGTTTTTGTATATAGGTTATGCACATAGAGGCGATGGAAAGCTTTTTAGGATCTACTAAGTAGTTATTTCTTTCCTTTGCATTCCATATTTGACATCATTTGATGATATATTATTTTATTTTATGGACATCTCACTGTTCTTAAATAATTCTTTCGTGACAAACAATGAATGGCGCTAGTATAAAATAAGTTCTTTTGATAATGATATTATAAAAGTAATTACTTGAATTATGCTAAGAAGCTATTGCCCTTAAATAAGGAAGAGCTTGGCTAGTTACACCTGACATGATAAATTCAATTCAACTTTGTAATGAATGAGGACACCTAAAACATTTAACTAAAGAAATGTTCAAAGAACAGATGATCACACAAATAAAGGAAAATTGGGAAGAAAAAAAAAGTAAAATTTGAAATTTATTTATTTATATAAATTCAAAAAAGGTAAAAATTGAAGCTTGAAAATTGATAGAACAGGCAATATTTAGAGGTGACAATGAAAATTTTCCTAATAAATAAGAATATATTAAAGCATCAAACTTTCCCATTTTTTCTCATTAAAAAAATAACAAAATGATTTAAAAAGAAAAAAAAAAAAAAAGAGAAAAAGAGGAAAAAAGAATTAAAAACTTATCCTTTCTTGATCGTTTCTAGACAATCCCAGCAAGCAACCGACCCTCTTTTTCAATCCTTGTGGTTCCATTTATTCCAGTGGGGGCTGTTTACTTCTTAGAATCCCTATAAAAATTCACCTACCATAATCAAATGTTCATAATACCCTCCCCCCCTTCTCTTTCTCTCTCTAAGATTTTCCCCCAAACAAAGCATATTCTTGAGAAGAAGGTTACAAACAATCCAGAGGGTTTTTTATTTGAGTTCTTGGTGGGTTCCTATGGCCAAAGGACCTGCAAATTCCATCTAAAGTTTGAAAATTTTGATTCTTCTTCCATTATAAAGCCCCCCCAGTTGTGAGTTCATATTTCACGTACCTCCAGAGAAAGAAAATGGATATCCATGAGTGGGAAATCCTCTCTGATGATGCCTTGCTTGATTACAAAGATGATAAGAAGAAGATCATCGCGGCTAAGAGAAGTGCTTCTGCTTCTGAAGCCAAGGTTATGGTTGAAATGAACTATTTCTTGTGCCCGTCGTCAATGGATTCTTCCGAGCACATCAGCCAACCGCCGAGGAGTTCTTCAGGGTTACCTAAACAGCCGATGATCCCTGTTCATCTACAATTGGACTCACCAATTATCAAAGTCCCAGATGATTCACTGGCAATGAAAGAGAAAGAAAAGGTACCCATGGTGATCAGTTTTGAGCCATCGGCCGTGAGTGAGAAGGTTGATCAAAAAGGGGCTGTGGAAAAAGCAGATCAAGAGACTGTTACTCAAGTTTTCTTCAAGAAAATGAAGGAAAATGAATTCGTCGACATGAAAATAGACTCACCCAGGTCCAGCAACAAGGGAACCAAGGCTCAAATTGATGTAGGGTGTTATCAGTTTGATGATGATGGTGAGGCTAAAGAGAGCAGTACGAACTCCCCCAGGATGGATTTGATGAACCAGGAAAGCAATAAGATGGATGATGGATCCATCGGTGGGTTGAACATATTGAAGTGGAGCTTAAATGGGATTGGAGCCATTTGCTCCTTTGGGGTTGCAGCTGCCACGATTTGTGTTCTGTTTTATGGAGGCAACCAACAAAAGCTGAAAATCCAGATCTACACCAATGATAAGGTCAGCAATTCAAAACGTTCATGCAATATTACCTCAAACAGTAATGAATTAAGGCAAATGTTAGGTTAGAAGTTCAATTCGGTTCATAAAACCCATAAATTGTAGCAGAGCTTATTTCATAGCATTTGGTTGCAGAAATTAAAGCAAGCGGTTCAGCAAGCTACTAAGTTAAATGAAGCAATCTCAGCAGCAAGAGGACTTCCACAGACAAGGGCTCACATAACCTGTGGCGGCCGCTATGATGGGCTCTAAGGAAGCTTAGAGGTGGCTCTGCTAAGACAAACTCTACACTAGAGGATGAATTGAGGCGGATTTGCCCTTAAAAATGACCAATTCTATCACTTTACTAGAAGTCTGTACATAGAGATTATAGTTTTAAGTACAAAAAAAAAAGGTTCAGGGGTCCTAGTTAGCCTACGCCAATACAGTCTTGATCAGCTTTGAATTTTATAGGTTTTTATGGTTTGTTTGTGTGTTCCAGTGGGGAAATGGTACAATCTTTATACACATGAGCAGTGGAAATGAAAGAGATGATTCTAAAAGCATAAATCTTGATCTTGATCTTGAACGGTTAAGACACTATTTAGTCCATATACAATAACTCCTATGGCGTGGTCTCTGTATTAAAACGTTTGTCCCACTTTAATAAATGTAACCAATGGATAAGTCTTCCTCATTAAAGAAGACCCTGAATCTTAATTACCAGTGAAGCCCCTATAAACAAACTTTTTACTGTCTAACTCAATGAAAACGGTTGGTGTGGGGGAAAGATCATGAGTTTATAAGTAAGGAATACATCTCCATTGGTACGAGGCCTTTTGGGGAAACCAAAAGTAAAGCCAAGAGTTTAAAGTGGACAATATCCTACTACTGTGGAGAGTCGTAATTCCTAACATGGTATCAAAGTCATGCCATTAACTTAATCGTGTTAATAGAATCCTCAAATGTCGAACAAACAATTGTGAGCCTCAAAGGTGGTGTTAAAAAACGACTCAAATGTCAAATAAAAGGTGTATTTTGTTCGAGGGGCCTAAAGAAAGGAGTTGAGCCTCAATTAAGGGGTTTGAGGGCTCTATAGGCCTTAGGGGAGGCTCTATTGTATACTTTGTTCGAGGGGAGGCTCTATACTTTGTTTGAAGGGAGGATTATTGGTGGGGAGTCCCACATCGGCTAAATAAGGGAGATGATCATGAGTTTATAAGTAAGAAATACATCTCTATTGGTACGACACATTTTTGGAAAACCAAAAGCAAAGCCATTAAAGTTTATGTTCAAAGTGAGCAATATCATACCATTGAAGAGAGTCGTGATTCCCAACAAAAACCAGAGCAACAAGGGACTTGGAGATATGGCTTACACAAGCAAGTATATGATGGTGCTTGGTTTATTCCTTTGCTCAGCTAGCTTGGTACGATTTATCAGGTGATCAACCCAAACTTAGGATATTCTTCCACTGATTAAAATCGCCTATATACAATGCAAACAATAAATGAATATAAGTACAGGGCTAAATAATGGAAATGGATTGAAAAAAAAAAGTGAAACAGACAGAGAGTGACCGGCCGAATAATGGAGCAAGCAATTACAGATAGAGTTCTCTCTTTCCTTTCTTCTTTTCTTTTTCTTTTCTTTCAAGGTTTGAACAGTAAACAATAAGACTAAATTGATCAGATCAAATCATTTTCCTTTCCTCCATTTAAATTTCTAAGAAATACTTGAGAAAAAAATAGAAAATCTGGGGTCCAATGAAAGAGACAGAGATTCCACCACTTCAGAAAGTGAAAGCTCCATTGTGGGATTTGAACCAGGCACAAAATATCAAATAATGGCATGACAACTTGACAATAAACCGTAGCTTCGCCGATTGTATTATTGACAAAAATGCACTGCCTTGAACATCACATAATGCAAGCCATTTACGTAATCAACTCCCACATTTCACAATCAGATTGACAAAGAACATCAAAACCCTAGGCCAAAAACCATCCGCAGAAGATCATTTACACTAATCTACAGCATCTAAATCCATCCTGGATTCACTAAAAAGGAAGAACATCCAATTCAGATAGATTAGATTCGAAAAGCACACAAAACCCAGATCAAATTCCTTATCAAAAGAGCTAAAAAGACTAAAAAAAAACAAAAGAAGTGGGGGAAAAGAGAAATGTCCGAAGCTATCCGGAAGAGGAACAAAGAAGAAAACGTTCGACTCCCTCAAACAGATTCCGTAGTGGAATTTTATATCCGATCAATTGATGTAAGCCTTTGTCTGAACCAAAAGGTGTTGCAGAATAGTTTCACCTCCTAGTCATTCGAAAGGCTAAACCATTTCCATTTTCAAAATTTTACCCCAAATCTAAACAAAACTTTAAACCTTCAGAAGGATCATCCAAGAAATAGACGACCAAAAATTGTCTCCTCCATTCAAAATTTAGGCGACGGAGCGGAGAAAGCGGGCGGGAACAATTTAATAACGACGTTCGGCTTAGGGATTCCACGTACGGTACGGTTTGGGCTTTTCGGATCGGGTATGGGTCTTAAATTGGCTGATCGAATCCGACTTTTCAATTCATCTAACTTAGCCCTAAAATATTTCCCTTTAGCTGAAAATTGTCTTAATCCAACCCAAACAAGATCCAAACTCACACCAACAATTCATGAATCTTGCTTAAAAAATTCAAAAGAACCCTAAATTGAGATCAAAGCCAACTAAAAAACTATTCAAATTGGTCTAGAATGGAAGATCCAAACTCACACCAACAATTCATGAATCTTGCTTAAAAAATTCAAAAGAACCCTAAATTGAGATCAAAGCCAACTAAAAAACTATTCAAATTGGACTAGAATGGAAGAAATCTGCTGAACTAAGAATTGGGTTGAGCCAAACCATAATCGAGTTGGACCATGTAACAACCCATAATCGAGTTGGACCATGTAACAGCCCAAACTCACTGCTAGCAGATATTGTCTGATTTGGTCCATTACATAACGTCATCACCCTCACGGTTTTAAAATGTGTCTACTAGGGAGAGGTAGTAAGGGTTCCTCTCAACCAATAAAATGAATTTACAAGTGGCCATTATCAGAATTTACATGTATGGGTTCGTTCATAGATACCATGTGCAACCTAAAACTGCTTCGTGAGCAATGTTAATGCTTTAGCATGCCAAAGAACAAGCCAAGCCAGAAAAGTTATGACAAGTTCAATTTAAGCATTACAAAAAGAAGATCAAGAACATCTTCCTGTCAAGGTGATTAAACTTGAGGCTTGGCAGCTTCTAGCATTTCAACTATAAGTGTCTTGACATCCCTAAAAAGATGCAATAGAAAAAGTGAGAAGAAATTCAAACAACAGGGACTAAAATGACTAGAAGAAACTTTGAAATGGTTAAGATCATTTTTATCATGTTCAGGAGTATTCAAGCTTCATGGTAAGAAAATCATATTTAGAAGTGTAAAACCAAACACTAAAATTATTATATGAAAAGTTAACTCTTAATAAATATCACTTATAACAAATCATTTTCACTAAAATCATTCTCAAACATGCCCGAAACTCTAAATATTCGAGACGATCAGAGGTGCAGAAAGTTTTTTCAAATAACAATCCTATTATCTCCACATGTCATCTATCTAACTCCTTAGAAGTCGAGATCAACCTTCACACCATAAACCAGGACTTCAACAGGAAAGAAAATAACATCATGCATCTAGAATTGTAAATGAAAATAAAGATGGAAAGAAATATCTCTGGTCCCAAAGTATCAAATACTTAAACATGCATTCTCGTGTTCGAAATTTAACAATTTAAGTTGTAATTTATGGATTAAATTAGCAGTTGTTACACAGTTCTCAGAAATTCATAATCCTCATAATTTTTTCCAGCATATAGTCCGTTCGTTGTTGCAATGCAATTTAATGAAGTTTTATACGGAGAAAGGAATTCAATTCATTATTACAATTCACACAACCAATAAATAAAAAATAAGCCGATACAATGTCCTCTTACACTGCATATAGAATTTAGGTCAAATTTTGTTTGGTCCATGTACTTAGATAATAAATGGGTGAGTCTTTTTTCTATTTTTGTTACATCTTACCCCGGACAAATGTATAATGTCTTAGCCAGTTTAATAATGTTAAGTGTTAGTAGATGGAAGAGCTAATTTCGAACTTAAGATTTTAATTTCATAAATTCAAGTCTGAACTTGAACAAATGGTGAATTATGCCTTTTATTAGTTAGATGAATTTCAACCATTTAGAGATCTACGGCAAGAAGATTGTTCTTACAAGCTATGATCGAGCAAGGTGCTAGTCTTATGGTCGTAAAGTTGAGTTGTGACTTTACTTCACTTTATTAGTTTTAGTCATTTTGGTTCTAAGTTCGATTTTTTTTTTTTTACTTTACAATTTTACGGTTGAAGTTTGGGTGTTCTTGCGGTTGGGTTAGTATGTTATTTTGGATGATTTGTTGGTTGGTTTTTGGCTAATTTTCAAACTTGCCCTTGAATCTTTCCCTAGAATTGAAGAAACATTATTTATATTAACAGAAGCAACTAATCAACAAATGGTACATTCAGCAGACCAGAAACATATAGGGGCAAAAAAGCATGCAATAGACATCTTTTTGCCTCAGCAATGAGAATTATAGGGTAAGGAGTCTTACTTTCTATTTTCTGCTCGTCTTGGAAAAGGTACACGAAGCTTAAATGAATTCCCCTGATAACTAGCCTAAATAAACAAAAGAAAAAAAAAACACACAAATATACACATCTATTAGCCTTTGGAAAGTAGAGCTGAAGTCAATACACCTTTTGTTAAGATTTAAATGTACATTAATTAGTAAATATTAATCTAATAGCTTGATCCTTAAGATTGGTATTACTCCAATATAACATATCATAGGCCAAAATTCTTGCCTCCAATTATCCATATTCTCATTTGCTCCTGTCAAAATTTATTAGTCCCCAGCATAATGATTACGGGTACGAACCCATAACTAATACTAACCTAACGTGAACTTTTAATGTCATTCTATCCTAACATGATCTAATATTTCAGCAAACGCACAGAGAACTTTAATTCGTAGTAATATTTTAGCAAAGACACGTAATAATAATTAGTTCTTATAATACAAGCCAACAAAGGTTGAACAAATAATTTAGTTCGTAGTACTAATACCTTGACGTTAAAACCAAGGCTATCCAAATCTAGCATGATGGCTGAATCAACCTGCAGATATAAGTAGTACAGTCTCACATGAACAGTTCATCAAAAGCTTTAGCTACTAAACTTGAAACGGTTAAAAACCTTAAACGAAGTATAATTGCATAGGTATTATTATCAAAAGCTACCCTAGGCCCAGATACTCCGGCCAATTGTAACCAGGTAATTCAGCCCTGATCACACAGTGCAGAATCAGATTGAAAATAAAAAACAAACGGAGTCCTATGTGAACTTGATTTAAACCAAACATATAGATCATTTTTTTATACCGGAATGGATGACCAGTGTCTCACAATCATCTTTGTATCTTCAGTATGATCCCTATTCATGTGAGACTGTAAATAAACAGAATCCGATTTAGAAAATATGTGATTAATGATTATTAATTGAAATAACAAGCAAGATTTAAAATGATGCTATCACCATGACAGGCTTTGCAAATTGAACTATCGGATCAACTTGTGCCGCCTTGTACTCTTCACTACTTAGTTCTTGGATTAAAAAGGTAAAAGAGCTAGATGTCAGTGTGACAAGAACAAGCCTGATATCAGAAGAAATAGAAAAGAGGAGAAGTAGAAAAGGCAGTCTATGTAAACAAACCTCCTGAACCCAAAGAAGCTGTTGCAACCCCCGACACGTATCGTATCACTTTCGGTTTGATGTACACAAATTGGAAGTCACCAAAGTCAACCTTCACACAAGTAGGAAGAATTAATTCATCTTTTATGTATAAACTGGAATAAACATCTCATGAAAAAAGTATCCTGAAGATCGGTATAAGCTACCCAAAACGCATTTGGATGCTTGGACAAATAAGCAGCACGAACAGCAGGTCTATCTTCTTCAGAAACCTAAATAATGAAAAAGAACATAATTCAGATTGTCATGCTATTCCATTGAGGAAGAATAATACTTGTCCTGAAAGACACACATGAACAGACACGCATCTATAATCTACGCATTTCTAATGAATGCATACAAGCAATGAGACAGATCGACACATGGAAAGAAGAAATAAATACTGAACATAAGCTATACATCTTACAGGAACAGCATCACCATGAACAGTGACCACTAAAGTTCCCCTATCTTCAGGTTCTTTTGCCACGAGCAATGAACATTTCGGATTAGCTGCCAAATTCTGCACAGAAAAGGAAAACCAAACTTTCAAAAGAATAAGAATGCTGCCAACACCAAAATTTCCAACTGGGTGCATTACGATGAATGATGTACAATACCTTAGCGTGCTCTGCTAGACTGCTTACAGCAAGTATAGGAGTACCATCAGCATCACATGCAAAGTCAACAAAAGATCCAGAAGGATAACCTTCAAAGCTCTGTACAGGAGCAAACCTTATTACTACTAAGGACTAAGAAACCAATCAAATGCAAATGATTTACAGAGAAATCAGATCTAATTGTACACTAGGAATGTCAATCACAAGTTCATAGTTATGTAGCGAATTCCGAAGACAATAGAGATAACACAACTAAAGATTAAAAGAGAGTGAATACCCTAGAAAAGGTGGAGAGCATGCCGCGCACACTCTGATCCAACAGTGTTCGAATCTCCTCAGCTGGCAAAAGCCGAGCCGCTTTTTCCTAAAACGTCACCAACCACATACAGCAAGTACTTGATAAATAAACAGAACACAAGAAATAATTCAAAACAAGCAATCAAACTTGAATCGGACAAAAGATATTATCAAAGGAAAGAAATACCTGATGAGCTTGAATCAACTTCGACACATCAATTTCATCGCTATTAGCATCATCGCCAGACGCCACAGCCTAATCAATCAGAAGAACAAAAACAAAAGGAAAGACAGTAAATCTCTTTTCGTATACTATAAAATTGTTACTACATGAACGAAATCAGCAAAAGAACAACAAACGTAACCACGAATTGATGGATGAAAAAGAGGAGAGAAGGAGATACCTGAGAAGTGGACTCCGTTGACGCAGCCATTGAAAATGGAAGACGAAAACGAAGACGAGGATTGAAGGAGGAGGCCAAAGAACGGGGAAAGTGAAAGCCGATTCGACCATTAAAGGTATTGCGCGAACGAAATTGGAAGGTTAGGGAAGGTGGCGTTA